GGAGCTTGCTCAGTGGTCCCAGATGTCACTCTGCTGTACTAGGGTTTGTTTAGGTCTGCTCCCTCAGAGGTTGCTGACATAGGTCCACTCTTGCTGAGGTTGCTGCCTAGGGATTGTTCTGGCAGAGGTTGCTGGCTCAGTCCTTGGTCAGTGGCTACAGCCCGCTCCTGTGGAGGTCAGTGCCTCAGGCCTCTAGCTGAGGTAGCTAACCCTGGCCTGCTCCTGTGGAGGTCACTGGCTCTGACCTGTTTTGTTTTGTTTTGTTTTGTTTTTTTCTTCGAGACAAGGTTTCTCTGTGGCTTTGGAGCCTGTCCTGGAACTCGCTCTGTAGACCAGGCTGGTCTCGAACTCACAGAGATCCGCCTGCCTCTGCCTCCCGAGTGCTGGGATTAAAGGTGTGCGCCATCATCGCCCGGCTCTGACCTGTTTTTATAGATATCCCTGGGTCAGGCCAATTCCATCAAAGGTTCCTGACATCCTTCTGTTCCCACAGATGTCTCTGGCTCAGGCCTGCTCCCTTAGAAGTTGCTCTCTTATACCTCTTATACCTGTTCCTGTGGAGTTTTCTGCCTCAAACATGATCCAGAAGAGGTCACTGGTTCTGACCTACTCCAGTGGAGGTCACTGGATTGAGCCTGCTCCTGTATAGATCATTGCCTTGGTCCTGCTCTGGCTGAAGTAGCTAACTCAGGTCTGCTCTGGCAGAGGGTGCTTGCTGAGGCCTGTTTCCCCATATATCCTTGGCTGGGGCTGCTCCCTTGGAGGTCCCTGATTCACGTCTGGTTCTACAGAGGTCCTTCAGTAACTGGGCCCTTCTCTCTCAGTGCTTGCTCACTTGTACCTCAGATTATTTTAATTCTGAATTATTGCAATTCTTAATATGTAGAGACCAAACAAAAGGTACCCGAGTTCATTAGAGAAGCACTATTATATTTGAAAAAAAATATTGTCATCAAACAGTGAAAATAAATATTTTAGTACCCCTCTATCACAAATAGAGAGGTTACCCAGACAAAAACTAAACAAAGAATTGATGGATCTAGTTAATGTCATAACACAAATGAATGTAGCAGGTATTTACAGAACATTGCACCTCAAAAATAATGAATATACTTTCTCAGTACCTCAAGGAATTTTTTCCAAAGTTGATCACATACCTGGACATAGTTAATTTTCAACTGATATCAGAAATTTAAAATAACATACTACATCTCATCTTTTCACCATGGATTAAATCTAAATATCAGCATCAGAAACTATAGAAACCTGAAAAATGTATGGAAACGTAACAACTTTCTACTTAATGAAAGATTCAAAAAGACATACTTTAAAACCTGTATTTCAACAAACAGGAGAATCTACATGGAATGAATAATTTTATTAACTTATTCCACATACCAAAATCAATCAAATTAGATAAGCAATTAAACAAAACTATCTCCCAGTGAAATAAGAGCAGTAACTAAATCTCTGAATCCCCTCTCCAAAATTCAAAGGCACCTGGTTTTAGCCTAGAATTTTATCAGATTTTCAGGGAATAGTTAATGCCAATTTTCATCACAGAAAAGAAACAGGAGGAACATTAACCAATTCTTTTGACAAGGCCATTGCTACACTGATACCAAACCACATAAAGACTCAACAAAGAAAGATAATTACTGATTTCTCTTATGAACATAAATGTAAAAATTCTCAATAAAATAAATGTAAACTGAATCTAAGAACACATCGAAAACAATATCTACTAGGATCAAGTAGGCTTCATGGGATAGATACAGGGATGATATACATACATAAATCAATAAATGTAACCAACTATGTAAACAGTTTAATTAATTTATATCTTAAAGCTACTATCTTGTTAACAAAAAAGTTGGGTGATGAGAAAATGTTAGTCCTACAATTGTTTTTTTTTTTTTAGTAATCAATTGGATCATTATAAAAATACTTATAATATCTACATATTTTCTCAAAAATTATTTTCTGCTCAAGTAGTAAATATAAATAAAAGTGATCAGGTTTTGATGAATACTACCTTTCAAATCTATAATATATTACTTTCATTACTTCTATGAGAAATTTGTTCCCAAAAATTCTTATGTTCAAAACATGTTCCTAAATCTGCAGTACTTACAGGAGAAACTTAAATACTGATTAGATCATTGAGATTTAGATCATTGGAATTCTGATGTCATCAATAGGTAATTCTTTTTATGATTTTATAATTTGATGATGCTAATGATCTAATCTTTAGAAAGTGGTGACTTGTTAGAGAATATAAAGAAACATGCTCTATTTGGATACATGTTATCTTAGTTCTGTTTTCAATTTTTGTTTTATTCTTGGCCTTATTAAAGTAGTACCAGCTATTAAAGTCTGTCCTGTTGCTAGACCAAATATAATGGAATGATTGAAATTTCCTAAACTGTGAACCAACCAAGAAACAAACAAAAACAAAAACACAGAAAAAAATCCTTCTTTCTATTCTTCTTGCATATTTTATCACAGTTATGGAAATTGAACATCACTAGTTTATAACATTATTTCCAAGGCAAAGAAAGTCCTGTGTAAGTTTTCTTAAATTATATGCTCTTGCAAAATTCGCATCAGAACATAGAACTTGATTTTAGTTCATCACTTTTTCATTAATAAGACAAAGTCACAGACCATGCATAACTTTATCATGTACTCAGTTAATATTTATAATTAAATAAAATGTAGTATTGTATACCCATTAAAATAATGAAGCACAAAGATTTCTGCTGATATTAAAATACAGTTTTCTAAACGGTTGTAGTCACTTGTCCAGCAGAAGAATTAGCATGATTTCTTTATAACCATGTGCTATTTCTAGTTGAATAGTTAATGAGAATTTTATATAATAAGAGAAAAATAGAGGATTTATAAATCTAGACTCTATCCATATGTCACAAAAATAAATATGTGAAAGAATCCAGTGGTGATTTTTCACATTAAATATATGTTAAAAAGAACATCAGCAATCTTTTGTCTTCACAATATGACACAATTCTAAAAAATCTTTCTTTTATGTTTTGAAGTTAAAGTTCCTTTATTGAAGATTTTTATCTACTTGTTATTTTTACTTTTTTCTTACCCATTCTTTTTAAATGTCTTAATTTATTTTCTGAGAATTTTATACTATCTCTCTCTCTCTCTCAATATATATAATTCTTTTCTCCCACCATCTTTTCTTATGCAATTCTTTCCCAATCTTCATATCCACCCCACAAAACATGGAGTCCAATTTGTGTTGATTGAATGACTACTACTGAATATAGAGCCTGCTGTAGAATGCAGTTAATATATACTTTGTCCTACTAAGGTCTTCATTATTGTGAGAAAGAACATGACCTAAAGCAACTTGAGAAAAATATTTATTTCAATTTACTTAATCCTAAAGGGAAGCCAGGACAGAAACTCAAGTTAGGAACTTAGAGGCAGGAACTAAAGCAGAGATCACGTAAGAATGTTGATTACTGACATGATTTTCTTAGCTTGCTCTATTTGCATTCTTAAACACACCAGAACTACTTTTCCAGGGTCAGATACTTGCTGGGGGGAGGGCATTCTCTCCAAAATCAAACACAAATTTAAAAAATGTCCCATAAACTTAACTATAGACCAACACTAAGGCAGAATCTTCTCAATTAAGATTCCCTCTTTCCATATATGTCTGTTTGTGTCAAGTTAACAAAAATCAACCAGTATAATTGATTACTTGTCTACTTAAGACACAAACACTTCGCTTTAAAGCATAAACTTTCATTCTATGATTATATCCACTATCTCATATAAATAAAACTCAAATGGCACCAAACAAAGTTTGTGTGAAGCCCACTTCTCTTGGCATTAATTTCTAAGTTCCTACAAAAAATCTCATTAAGTTCTAAACTTTCAGTCACATTTCCATCCCAAAGGTCCAAAACCTTTCACAATCTTTTGATAAAAATACATGGTCCAGGGAACTAACTGGGGACATCGCCTTGGGTTCCTGGGAGCCACTCTAGGTTCAAGTCTCTTGCCAACCCTAAGGTGGCTCCTTTAACTAAGAATTGTGCTTCCGTGCTCCCCTATCCAGCCTTCCTTTATCCCAATAATCCTGTTTCCCCAAGTTCCCCCATCGTCCCCTTCTCACTTTTCTCTCCCCCTCTCCCCTTACCCTCATCCCACCCCACCCCCAAGATCCCAATTTTCTCTCCGGCAATTTTGTCTACTTCCCATAGCCAAGAGGATAACTATATGTTTTTCCTTTGGTTCACCTTCTTACTCAGCTTCTTTAGGTTCACGAATTGTAGACTCCGTGACCCTTATTTATGGCTAGAAACCAATTATGAGTGAGTACATCCCATGTTCATCTTTTTAGGTCTGGGTTACCTCACTCAGGATAGAGTTTTCTTTTTCCATCCATTTGCATGCAAAATTCGAGAAGTCATTGTCTTTTTACCGCAGCGTAGTACTCTAATGTGTATATATTCCACACTTTCTTCATCCATTCTTCCATTGAAGGACATCTAGGTTGTTTCCAGGTTCTGGCTATTACAAATAATACTGCTATGAACATAGTTGAACAAATGCTTTTGTCATATGATAGGGCGTCTCTTGGGTATATTCCTAAGAGTGGTATTGCTGGGTCCAGGGGTAGGTTGATCCCGAATTTCCTGAGAAACCACCACACTGATTTCCAAAGTGGTTGCACAAGATTGCATTCCCACCAGCAATGGATGAGAGTACCCGTTCCTCCACAGCCTCTCCAGCAAAGGCTATCATTGGTGTTTTTGATTTTAGCCATTCTGACAGGTGTAAGATGATATCTCAAAGTTGTTTTGATTTTCATTTCCCTGATTGCTAAGGAGGTTGAGCATGACCTTAAGTGTCTTTTGGCGATGTCCCCAGTTAGTTCCTTGGGCAGCTGAGGATAGGGAACCTGAAATGACCCTATCCTATAGCAATACTGACGAATATCTTGCATATCACCATAGAAGCTTTATCTGGTGATGGATGAAGATAGAGACAGAGACCCACACTGGAGCACCGGACTGAGCTCCCAAGGTCCCAATGTGGAGCAGAAGGATTGAGAAGATAAGTTAGTAAGTCAGGACCACGAGGGGTGCACCCACCCACTGAGACAGTGGGGCTGATCTATTGGGAGCTCACCAAGACCAGCTGGACTGTGACTGAAAAAGCATGGGATAAAACCGGACTCTCTGAACATGGCGAGCAATGAGGGCTGATGAGAAGCCAAGGACAATGGCACGGGGTTTTGATCCTATTTCATGTTCTGGCTTTGTGGGAGCCTAGCCAGTTTGGATGTTCACATTCTTAGACATGGACGGAGGGAGGAGGACCTTGGACTTTCTACAGGGCAGGGAACCCTGACTGTTCTTTGGACTGGAGAGGGAGGGGGAGAGGAGTGGGGGGAAGGGGTTAAGGGTGGGAGGAGGGGAAGGGAAATGGGAGGCTGAGAGGAGGCTGAAACTTTTTTTTCCTTTTCTCAATAAAAATAAATAAATAAATAAATAAATAAATAAATAAATAAATAAAAATACATGGTCCATTCTATTAAAGCAGCTACCCCTGAACCTTGTAACTAATATCTGCCTTAGTAAGGTTTCTATTGCTTTGATAAAGACCATGACTGAAAGAAACTTGGAAAAATAGAAGTTTTCTTAAGCTTATGTAGTCTGATCAAATTTAATTATGAAAGGAAGTCAGTGAAAGGGACCCACACAAAGTTGGGCCTCCCTCCCAGATCCCAGACTAGACAAAAACCACACACAAATAACTGGTTTCTCAGAGAGATCTTTCATTAAGCTGGGATGAAAATTAAATTGACTGTTTTCTGACTCAGGAAGAATATAGCACCAAATGACCTTCCAAGTAAAATTTTTGAGTGGAGAATAATGAGAGGTCTGTGATAGAATGGGATAGGATGTGGTGGTAAAGTAGATAGGGGATGAGGAAGAAAAGGAAGGGAGAGGGAGCAATGGTATTTGCCCTAAACTGACAAAGTACTGCCTCCAGATATAGATGTGAAACATAGGCAAATGACAGTTTATAAAGGTAAAATGGGAAGCCTGTGTTAGGATATGGTGTGTAACTTTAATTTGGCGTGCTAATTAGGTGACCCAAAGGGGACTTCTAAATGTTGGATTTCAATATGTTAATAGCTAGACATTAATTGTAGGCCTCAGGAGGAGAAAGTGATCAAATAATGGAATAAACTTAGTTACTAGCTTTTGAAATGTAATTTAATGTGTTTTTGTTTTTTTTTTTTTTTTTAGCAAGTCAGAAGGAATGAGAAGGGTAAGGCCTGCCAGAGTCATGTTCACCATCCTGAAGCTGACCTTTTAGTCAGGACAAGAACTCAAAGTAGAATTTAAAGACAGGAAATAAAGCAGAGGCAATGGATGAATACTGCTTAATGACTTCCTTTCTATGGTTTGTTCATTATATTTTCTTGTATAAGATCATTGTCCCAGGGTTGTTGTGGCCCTTATTGGACTGCCCCCTTAAGCAAATTTTTGACTCAAAAATGTTCAGCAAAGAAATGTTCAAAAGGAAGATTCCCTCTTTGCCGATTTATCTAAATTTGTAACAAGCCAGGGGAATATTACCCTGCCTTTAAGTTGCCACTGAGCCCTGAGACATGGAAATGCCCATGACCATGACTCAGCATTAGAAGCTAAACTATACAGCAAAGTTAACCACCAAGCAATTCTTTTGTACTTTTCCACCAGCTCACTGTTCATGCTCCCCCCCCCCAAAAAAAAACTGTAAAAGCCCTTCCCTCTCTTCCTTCTGCCTAGACCTCTGTGGTTACTTTGGTTCCTGGCCAGAGGTAGCCTCCTTTTGCTGTCTCTCTTCAATAAATTGTTTGAGTAGGATTTGTTACATGTTATGAATTTACAGTATTCCTTGGCTCCTGGCTACCACGATGGTCTTGTGCCAGCAAACTCCGAATAAGCATACTGAAGAAATGTTATTTTCTCTCACCCAGAAACAATAAAAAGTGCCTGTAATTTCTAGGATGAAGAGTAGGATTTCACTTCTTCCTTGTTGAGATTCTGTCTGGTGTCAGATTTTCAGGTCTGATTCATAATTTCATAGTATTTATAATTCATGTATACATCTTTCATGCTGTATCTGGGAAATGTTATTTCATTGAAGTTACACTCTTTTGATTCTTACTATTTTTCTGGCTCCTCTTTCTCATATAACCAAGCCTTGATGTGAGGATGTGATAGGGACATTCTACCAAGGATGGAAAACAACTAAGTCTCACAATATCTCTGTCCTGTAATATGGCCACTTGTCTCAAGCTTCTGATGCCCTTTCAAGATGACTGATGTGTTTGAATTATGAGCCAAAATAAACCATCTTACTCAAATTGCTTTTGTCATGTTTTATAAAAGTTGAGGAAGGTGTGAGTGAATGTGTAAGAGTGAATAAAGTTTTGAGTTAATGTGTAATATTGACAGGGGCACAGCTAAGTCAATAATCAAATGCCTCAGATCAATGCAAATGGAATAGCCTTCCCCATATTGGATAGGGTGATGTGGGAGGGTCTTCTGTCTATGTGTTACTTTCATTGGTTAATAAAGGAACTGCCTTGGCCCTTTGACATGACAGCAGCTTAGATAGGCGGAGTAGACAGAACAGAATGCTGGGAGAAGGAAAGCATAGTTAGTCAGATGCCATGGAGCCAGCCGTCATGTCAGACATGTTGAATCTTTCCTGGTAAGCCATCACCTCATGGTACTACACACATTATTAGAAATCGGTTAATCAAAATATGACAGCTAGCCAAGAAGGAACTAGATATAATGGTCCAGGCAGTGTTTAAAAGAATACAGTTTGCGTGTTGTTATTTCCGGGGCTAAGCTAGTCGTGCAGGAGCTGTGCGGGACAAAAACCAGTCCTGCCCACAGCTCCCACTACAAATGGTGCCCAGACATGGATAACTAAAGCCTGAGAAAGCTTGGGAAAGAATAGAGTAAAGCATGAATAGAGTAGCAGCAATTTCTTGGGTCTGATCTGCTTGCTTGAGGCAAGCAAGTGCTCTCATCTAAGAGAGGCTTCCTGACTCAGCTTAAGCTGCAAAACTTTGCAGCTCTTTTAAGAGGTCCTGCCACAAAACACTTAAATGATATTGATGGAAAGCTGAATGCATACGTTTTGATTTTGAGCCATAGCAGGATAAAAGCTGTGCTGTTTTAAAATGCCAACTTTCTGGGCCATCCTGCCAGGGCAAACTCTGTCTCTTTCAGGCAAGCAGTCTGATTGAATGTGATCTGTGAGCAGAATGCTTCAGCTTGCTTGCTGGTGGGACCTTGAAACATCATAGAGTTGTGGCAATAACTCAGAGAGCACTAGACCTGTCTGGTGTCTCTTTACAGAGGTGGGAGTTAGACACCAACCCACATGCAATCAGACTTGCTCTTCTTGAGGTCGACTTCTCTGACCTCAAGTGCAGTGCACAAGCCTCGCATCCTGTGCTCAAATATAGATAACCAAGCTTGAGAGGACTGTCCTGCTTCAATGACTGTGAAGGCCTGAATGATCATAACTGCATTGAGATGCTGTGAAAACCTTATGTGACAAATGTACCATAGGCACACCAGGGAGACAAGCACCATTAAGCCTGTTAGGGCTCCTACTCCCGCCCACTCCTTCAGATGATCCATGGCTGTAGTGATCCAGGAGGATAGTCCTTCAGCCAGGCTGGTATCCATGCGTGTGGAATTCGCAGTCGCAATCGCCACTTGCAACTTTTCCAGTTGTTGTTAGAATTCACCAGACCAATTACCTAAAAGACAGCTAGACAATTCTCTAGACAAATTAGCTGCATGAGTGAATTGACAAGAGTCATCCTTGAATTCCCCAAGAATCCCCCCTTTATTGTATTCAGGGGCAGATTATATAGAGATATCCACATCCCAGCCAAACCCACCAGAAACCATTCTCCTGCCATCAGGAACTCCTGAAGGTCTTGTGCTCAGAGCAGCTGTTCAAATTCACTCTGCTGCAGACTCTTCAGCGGCATGCAGTGCCTGGAACTGCCACAGCCTTTTCCTTGCCCTGCAGCTGTGCTGCGTTCTCGGGCAGCCCTGTGGGGTCTGTGCTCCAGCTTGTCTCAGCTCCAGCACTTGTTGTTGCGTTTGCTGATACTCTTGGCACTGCTGTGGCATCCGCCAGGCTAGGCACTGACTGGGCTGTGGCAATGTGCCTTCCACCACAGCCACCTAGCAAAGTTGTGCTCCAGCTGCCTTCTAGCCCTACTGCATTCGTTCTGGGTCCAAACTGGTGCATGGAGTGGAACGGAACTCAGGAAAGCAGGCTTGCTGCTCTGCAACAACTGAAGGGACCCCACTTACACCATGTTTTAGGGAATTTGGGAATTGTCAATCTGTCTGGCTATTTCCTGCTGAATGGGGACGCTGCATTCTTAGGGGTATTTACTGCAATTTACTGCCATTTTCAGCTGCGCTGGGACGCGGGTCATAGCAGCGACTGGGGAGAGGCAGAGGCTCCACCTCCCCACTGAGCTGGGAGGTGGAGGCATGGCAGGGTAGAGTGGTGGGCCCTGAGCCTGTCGTGGTGGGGCAGATCCCATCCAGGCCGATTGCCCCGGGCTGTGACAGAGGTCCAGGCCAACGGGCCTTGTCGCAGTCTGCTGCACTTCTGTGTCCTGAGGCCCATGCTGGAAGTGGGCCTAGCATTCTTGCCAGTCAGTCCTCAAGGCAGGTTCCAGGGTTTGCAAGCATCGCAGCCCCTCAGCACCCACCGCCTTGGAGCTGCCGCCACTCACACTCCACTGCTACATTTCAGGAGGTCTCGGAGATTCAAACCACATGAATATCATACCAAGCTTGTCCCAGGATGACACATTAAGATTGCCAGAGACTGCAAACCAAGGGGCAACTGTGTCACATTCAACCAAAAACCTCTCCAATGTGCTCTGTTTTATTTTTAAATTTTTTGAACGTAACAGCTTGTTAAGAGTCAGAAAAATCAGGTGTGATGTTGAAGCACCCATTCTAAAATCCCATTCTTTCTTTTAGTTTCACTTTGGTTCTACTGCCCCGTTTCACTTTGACCTGTCCGCTTTTGTCGTGGCCCTATTACCCTGCTCTCCCTTCTTCTACCGAGAGTGGAAAACCCGCTTTTTGTTAAGGATCCTCAATCTTACCTGAGGATTTACTGGTGCACCCCCCGACGGCAGCAAGTTCTGAGCTCCATGGAGAGAGGTTTGGAGGTTCCCCATACGAGGCCACCACTTGTCGCACCCGCCTCGACCAGCAAGGAAGACGCAACACTGGAGCTCTTCTTGCAGGCAGTTTATTCAGGACCTTGTTCTCTTTCTCTCTCTCCCTCTCTCCCTGGGCAAACTTGTCCCAGCCCTTAAAAAGGCACGGGCCGCCAACCCCGGATTGCCAGGTGGACACTGCCCATAGGTCCATGCATATGCAAGCAGCTGACAATCATTGTGTGATAATAGCATGAATCAGGCTTTAGCCATAGGAGTTGATTATCACAGAGAGCACTCGCTTTCGGGATCATGGAGGGCGGGAGACAGCACCATCAGGTGCGGCTCCATGCAGCTCTCTACATCGCCATCAGGTGTGGCTCCACGCAGCTCTCTACAGTTCCCCCTTTTTGTTTTTTAAAGCAACAGGCAAGAGTAGAGGTCTGATCTCTGTTAAAAATGGAACATGCTCCGTCTCCTTCTGCTCCTGATTTGGACCTTGAGATTTCTGTCCGGTGCTCCCATGTGGGTCTCTGTCTCTGTCTCCTATCATCGCCTGATGAAGGTTAATATTCATGAGGATGCCTATGTGTTTGTCTTTGGATTCACCTTCTTATTTAGCTTCTCTAGGAACATGAATTATAAGCTCAATGTCCTTTATTAATGGCTAGAAACCAAATATGAGTGAGTACATCCCATGTTCCTCTTTTTGGGTCTGGCTTACCTCACTCAGGATAGTGTTTTCTATTTCCATCCATTTGTATGCAAAATTCAAGAAGTCCTTGTTTTTTACTGCTGAGTAATACTCTAATATGTATAAATTCCATACTTTCTTCATCCACTCAAGAACAATCGCAGGTTTTTGATCCTACCTCACGTACTGGCTTTGGGGGAGCCTAGGCAGTTCGGATGCTCACCTTACGAGACCTGGATAGAGGTGGGTGGTCCTTGGGCTTCCCACAGGTCAGGGAACCCTGATTGCTCTTCGAGCAGATGAGGGAGGGGGACTTGATCGGGGGAGGGGGAGGGAAATGGGAAGCGGTTGCGGGGAGGAGGCAGAAATCCTTAATAAATAAATAAATAAATAAATAAATAAATAAATAAAAATAAAAATGGAACATGTACTAGTGTCTGTCCAGGTGTAATCCACTCAGAGAGCACTAGACCTGTCTGGTGTCTCTTTACAGAGGTGGGAGTTAGACACCAACCCACATGCAATCAGACTTGCTCTTCTTGAGGTCGACTTCTCTGACCTCAAGTGCAGTGCACAAGCCTCGCATCCTGTGCTCAAATATAGATAACCAAGCTTGAGAGGACTGTCCTGCTTCAATGACTGTGAAGGCCTGAATGATCATAACTGCATTGAGATGCTGTGAAAACCTTATGTGACAAATGTACCATAGGCACACCAGGGAGACAAGCACCATTAAGCCTGTTAGGGCTCCTACTCCCGCCCACTCCTTCAGATGATCCATGGCTGTAGTGATCCAGGAGGATAGTCCTTCAGCCAGGCTGGTATCCATGCGTGTGGAATTCGCAGTCGCAATCGCCACTTGCAACTTTTCCAGTTGTTGTTAGAATTCACCAGACCAATTACCTAAAAGACAGCTAGACAATTCTCTAGACAAATTAGCTGCATGAGTGAATTGACAAGAGTCATCCTTGAATTCCCCAAGAATCCCCCCTTTATTGTATTCAGGGGCAGATTATATAGAGATATCCACATCCCAGCCAAACCCACCAGAAACCATTCTCCTGCCATCAGGAACTCCTGAAGGTCTTGTGCTCAGAGCAGCTGTTCAAATTCACTCTGCTGCAGACTCTTCAGCGGCATGCAGTGCCTGGAACTGCCACAGCCTTTTCCTTGCCCTGCAGCTGTGCTGCGTTCTCGGGCAGCCCTGTGGGGTCTGTGCTCCAGCTTGTCTCAGCTCCAGCACTTGTTGTTGCGTTTGCTGATACTCTTGGCACTGCTGTGGCATCCGCCAGGCTAGGCACTGACTGGGCTGTGGCAATGTGCCTTCCACCACAGCCACCTAGCAAAGTTGTGCTCCAGCTGCCTTCTAGCCCTACTGCATTCGTTCTGGGTCCAAACTGGTGCATGGAGTGGAACGGAACTCAGGAAAGCA